ACTGTATATATAGTTCACATAATAGTTCAAGTCTGTTCTGTTTTCTTATTTTCTGGGAAAAAAAGCTATTTGTATTTGACTTTGAAATTATTTTATGATATTTTACTCAGCCCCTACAMAAATGTATTACCATAATCATGTCAGATTAAAGTCAAACTAAGAAAAAAAATAAGTTCTTCATGTATCCAGACTACTCAGCTACTGAGAGCTTGTGTTACTTCTGGGTTTTGAAATAAAACCTGTTAAATAGCAAAGAACTTAGATCTTGATTCCTTATTGGTCCCTATCTTGCAAATGTGTATTTTTACAGCAGTACTGCCACATCTCTTCAACAAAACTGCATACCAGGTCAAAAAAGTAGACTTATGTACAATTTAAAAACTTCAGATAGTTGAAAGCTTGCACACACATCCTGCAGGGTCCAGATGTGAATGCTTTCGATATAAAACAGCCAAATGTCTATAAAGAATATACCATGAAAGTTTGCACATTTGAATACATGTGTTTGTGTAAGAGCTTTAGACTTTTTGAGTTTGTGGGATGTGGCTGTAAAAGTCATGATGTGGGAAGGTGATAATCATCAGACAATGACCTCAAGTTTGATCTCATCAGTTCTTTGTACAAAAGTCCAGGCTGTTATTTTTTTAAATAGTTTTAATAAGAGCTTTGTCTACCAGAGGAAAAAAAAGATACAAACACCAGTGTGTTTTTTTTACCCCACTGTATAACTGATGTTGAGACCACTGCCCACACTACAGCTCTCTGCATAAGCATGTTGTTGAGACACTTGTCTTACTAACCTTTTTTAAGCTTCAGCTTCCTCCATTTTAGAGCCAAACCACACCAATGTGGTCGTCTAACGTGTCTTCATACTGACAAAAACAGCTACAGATTCAGATACAGAAATATATATATTAAAAAGCACAAGGCATCTGGGTTTTCTTGTGACGCTGCTGTTTTTGGTCATAGTGCATACAGAGGTTAAAACATTTGTCAGTAATGTTTTTTGTGTGTTTTGTTTTTAATTTGTGTTGTTGGGAAATGAGAAGTACATAAATAAGGGCTGAAATAAGAGTAGAAAAACAGCAAAGTCCCCACATCCTGACTTTTTACATGTTTGTTTTTCAGTTGTTTTAAAAAAGTCATTTTTAAACTAAATGTACAGAAACAAAACGATGAGAAGTTAATAGCACTGGTGGTCAATGGTGCCGAACAATTTAAAGCGACAAGACCACAACTTCCTACCATCAGTCTTCTTCAGCGTCTTTTAACCAAAGTCTGTTCCATGTTACATGACTGTGAAATGTGGTTATGTCAAACTGAAAACATTCAGGGTAGATTAATTACAGCATATTTTGGGTCATCGTTCTTTTTACCCATGGTGGGTTGTTTTGTGGTCTGTTTGTGTTTGATGACAGCGTATACTGAACTGTTAGATGCTTCATCTTTAGCTGCTGTGTCTGCAACAGGTGGCTGWTTCTCGGTAGGAAGGGGGGCAGGTGCTGGCATTTCTGCAGAACTTGAATTGTAGATCTCATTYAGAGCAGAGAGATGAGTTTTCAGGACTGGAGACGTAGGGCTACTTGTCTCGGAGGTGCTTGGKGTCATATGTGCACACATTGTCTATTACAGAAAACACCAAAAYGAGAGTCAGTTTTGACTGTAAGCAAGAAACATTTAACAAATCTTAAATAAATCTTAATGTTATATCTCAAAGACATTGGATTTTCACTGATCCACTCATGAAAAGTAATGAAAATGTTTCACATTACCTCTTGCTTTGCATAGTTACAGGCCAATATTACTGTAAGAAAGACAAGAAAATAATTCTGAATGGTTTTGTTAGATTTAAAGGTTGTCCACAAGGAAACRTATCTTTTTATTCAAATGTTTTTCAGTGTACTGAAAAATCCACCCAAAATTATATTTTTTGAAAATATTAGAAAATATCTTAAAAAATGTGAAAATTCCACTCGTGATTTTGTGTTGAAAGTCACAACAACATTTTGAAAGGCTGCTGTCATACCACACCACATACAGGCATGGCATTGTGACTACTGTGTTTGGGGTTGTTTTTCTTCTGAATRAAGACATTATTAAAAATGACAAATAGTTAAAAAAATTGTTTCAAAAAATGCTATTCCCATGACCTAAAAAGAAGAAAAATTATTGCAATAGATTAAAACAAAAATCAAACCAATGCTCTTACTTTGGCGGCCGAAGAAGCACAGGAATGTTGTTGCAGACAGCAAGGCGACCAGAAGCAGAATGATAATACAGATAATGAAGTAAGGCAACCAGAATTCAGATTTATCATCACTACCACCCTGTGTTGGTACTGCAAAGTAAAAAAAGAAAAATGAAAAGAAAAATTTTACTCGTGTCTATCCATAAAATGTACTGTACCTAAGGTTCTTACCAGCTTTTTTTCCATCATTTTCACCTSTGTGGTTTAGATCTTTGAAACACAAAATAAAGCAGATCAAATAAACACAAACATATTTACAGTCATGGCGGTAAATAGGTATGGTGTTTACCTGAAACTGAGATACGGATGGAATGACTGAACGTTTGAGGGTTTCCCATTAATTCACATCTGTACATGCCAACATCATCAAGGGTAACTTGCTTAAAGCTCAGAACTGAGATCAGCACATCATTCTCATCATTCTGTCTGATTTCCACATTATCTGTTATAAGAATCTGTTCAAAGGCGGTTGTTGTGTTTGAGAATTTACTCCAGGTGACATTTTGTGATGTTCCACAGTGTCTGAGAGGACAGCTGACTGCCAAATGTTGTCCTTCGATCCCTTTTGATGCTGTGTCTCTCTTCAATTTAAAGAAAATTTCACATGTAGAAGACGGATCTGAAATGACAGAACATGTATCTAGATTTAGTGACTGGTTCTTCTCAGTCAATAATACAAGAGGGTTGTTTAGATATGTTGGATAAATTAATTATAAAGACACAAGAAATGACGAACAAGCAGCAGTTCTGGTTGAGCTCTCTTTTGCTTTCTGCAAGGAATCCATATACAGACAAGGTACAATACATATGATGTCAGTAGCATGAACCGAATTTCTGTACAGCTGTCAGGATTTTAAAGGGTACCCTTCAAAGGGGCTGAGTGTCCTCCTGTTACAGTATATGAC